TCACCGAGCCGAAAAATCGTACGGAGACGGTCGCGTGAGCGTGTGCAGCGCCTTGCAATTTTGTGACGATTGCGGGCGTTTGTACAGAACAGCGGGTGCGAGGCACGAATGCGGCGTCGTGTTTTGTAACATTTGCAGTTCACGTCAAGATGTAAACCATCTTTGTTATATTCGACCTCTTGCACGCGAGGATTTCACCGACAATGGGAAAAACGCGCGCGTCGCATTCGTGTTCTACGATTTCGAGACCCGACAGGATGAGACGCTCGAAGGTACAGCGTCTGTGAAAATTCACGTGCCCACTCTTTGCGTTGCACAGCAGATTTGCGTCGCGTGTGCGGGCGAGGACGACATGACGGTACGTTGCCGGTGGTGCGGTGTGCGCGAATTCGTGTTCCGCGATGATCCGGTGAGGCGATTCGTCGATTTCGTTACGAGAACAACAAAATGTTTCAAGCAGATTATCTGCATCGCACACAACGCCAAGGCGTTCGATGCGCAGTTCATCCTTTGTTACATCACGGAAAAACGTGTCAATTTGGATCAACGAGTAATATTAAACGGGACGAAGATCGTCGTATTAACGGCCGGGCGTACGAAATTTATTGACAGTATCAACTATATGCCGATGTGTTTGTCAGCTTTGCCGAAGGCTTTCGGTTTGCGGGGTGAGGTGGAAAAAGGATATTTTCCGCATTTATTTAACACACTTGCGAATCAGTCGTACGTCGGTCCGTTACCAGCCGTTGAATATTACTCGCCGGATAGTATGTCTAGCGAAGAACGCGAATGTTTTTTGTCGTGACACGCGGAACAGATGCGCAAAAACGCAGTTTTTGACTTTCAACGCGAAATAGTTCGTTATTGTCGTAACGACGTTGATATCTTGCGGCAAGAGTGCATGGCCTTCCGCAAGATATTTCTCGAGCGCGGAAACGTATTTTCGTTCGAAGAATGCACGACCATCGCTTCCACATGTATGCGCGTTTTCCGCAAAAACTTTTTACGTGAGGAAGAGATCGGCGTCATTCCTCGCGGATATGCAATCCTGCAAAGCTCTGCAGTGGCTGGTGTGGAAGGAGCGCAAGCTCGGCCGCATCATTGTTCACGCGGGTCACGGGCGAGAACATCGTCTCACGGAAGTCGGAGGCATTCCCATCGACGGGTATTACGGGTATTACGAGACGGCGAACGGTGAGCGTCACGTGTTGCAATATCACGGCTGCTTTTGGCACGGGTGTCCCGTGTGTTTTAAAACGGAACGCGACAAACGTCTCTGCACGGGGGAACGCGAAGTGTACGACACGATAAACTCGCGATACGAGCGTACACTGACAACGTCATGGCGTCTTCGCAAACGAGGGTACATCGTGACGGAGAAATGGGAGTGCGCTTTTGATTGCGATACGCGGGAAAATCGCGAAATGCGAGCGTTTTTAGACCAACATCCGATGCTCATGGCTGAACCGCTTTTACCGCGTGACGCGTTTTTCGGCGGTCGAACGGGAAACATCGCGATTCGGCGCGAAGTTACGGGTACGGAGAAAATACGTTACGTAGACGTGTGTTCTTTATACCCTTACGTGTTGAAAACCGGCGCTTTCCCGATTGGACATCCGAAAATTCTTGTCGGACAAAAAAAGTGTGCCTCGCTCATCGGGGCGATGCTCGGTGTCGATTTTTCCGCGGTCGAGGGGCTTGTGCGTTGTAGAGTGCTTCCTCCGCGCAATCTCTTTCACCCTGTACTCCCGTACCGCGTGCAGGGCAAACTGCTGTTTGCCTTGTGCCGCAGTTGCTGCGAAAACTTCTCGCAGACACAGTGCTCGCACGAAAATCTGCGCGATCGTGAATTCGAAGGCGTGTGGATATTGTGTGAATTACTCAAAGCTGTGGAGAAGGGTTATCTCGTGACTGCAGTGAGCGAGATATGGCAATATGAGACGAGCCAATACGACGCTGATACGCGTCAGAGGGTATTATTTGCCGAATACATAAACTGTTTTCTCAAATTGAAGCAAGAGGCGAGCGGATGGCCGAGCGAATGCGTGGACGACTAATCTAAATAACGATATCTTCGAGAATACAAAGCAGTCGAGGGTATTGCTCTAGATAGAGCAAACATTGCGCAAAATCCGGGTTTACGCTCGGTCGCAAAGCTGTGCCTCAATTCGTTTTGGGGAAAATTCGGGCAACGATCGAACTGGACGAGTACCAAGATGGTAAAGTCGCAGGAACGTCTCGTATCGCTATTGTCGAGCTCCGAGCACGAGGTAACCGATATATTACCTGTGAATGACGAGGTAATATATGTTTCGTGGCGAATGCGAGACGAGGCGATCGTACCTTCTTCGATTACCAACGTGATACTAGCGGCGTACACGACGGCACAAGCGCGATTGAAACTGTACGAATATTTAGAACGTTTAGGCGAACGCGTTCTTTATTACGATACAGATTCGTGTATTTATGTGAGCAGCGGAGAACCCGGCAAATACAAACCGCGTATGGGAAATTTCCTGGGCGATATGACGGACGAGCTCGAAGGCTACGGCCGTGGTAGTTACATCGAGTCGTTTGTATCCGGTGGCCCGAAATTTTACGCGTACGTAGTTTGTACTCCGGACGGTGGTACGCGGGAGGTGTGTAAAATCAAGGGAATAACTCTCAATTCCGCAACCTCCCGCATAATTAATTTCAATAGCGTTAGGGAAATGTTAATGAGAAGAGAGAGAAAAGAAGAAAATATGTCGATAAATCTGCATTTTAGAGCGATTTGTCGCACCGCGTATTACGAGGTTGTGACGCGGGACGAATAAAAAATCTGCTCGCCGGTTTTGCTGAAGCGTAGATTTATCGACAAGCGACGCTCCGTTCCATACGGCTACTTAGAATAAGACTTTTTTCCGCGCATTCTCTTGTAAATAGTTTGTATATTTTTAACGTATTAGTAAGAGTTAAAATTGTACATATGTTTTTCGTCCAAATAGGTCATAATGTAAGCAAGCGCTTTGTACAATAAAAGAAAAATATATAAGTTATTTTAACAATTGTGTGTAAAAATAAGGTTATAAAATGCGAGATTTTCTGTACATGTTAGTAGATTAAGCAATATGTACACATTTTGTAAAACGTAANATAAGGTTATAAAATGCGAGATTTTCTGTACATGTTAGTAGATTAAGCAATATGTACACATTTTGTAAAACGTAATATTTTAGTGTTATTAAATTTTTATTAAAACAAAATTAAAAGATTGCTTTTTCCCGATCTCTGTTTTCTTTTATCCTTAGAAACTTTTTGATATAACCTCAACAAAAAGCTATAAGCTTATATTAGCGCGCGCGCGGTTGACGAGCTTATTTTTGCGCGCGCGACAATAAGCTGATTTTTCATGAAAACAGCTTTTCATTTATCCGGAATAAGCTCACCGTTGCCGCGATGAAAATTAACTGATTTTTGCGGCAAAACGCGGCCGCCGCGGGGCCCAACGCGCGATGGTAAGCTCATCGTCGCAAACCAAAAACAGTTTAATTTAAGAGTTATACAAGCAGCAATTTGCACAGTCTTCGAAATGGATGTGCGCTGGAAACATCCCTGGACGTCGATCGTATGCGGTCGACGGGACCGGGTCTACGGGATGCGGGAAAACAATTTTTGTAAAGACTTTTCTCCGTTATTTGCCGAAAATGGCAAATATTCAATTCGGGAGAATTTTATTTTATTACGGCGAGTGGCAAGAAGCCTATCTCGAGTTGCAACGCAAGATGGAAAAATGTAAAATCGAATTTTGCGAAGGACTACCTTGCCCGGAAGATTACTCGAACGACCCGCTTTGTGCGAAATTAATAATAATCGACGATCTTATGCGAGAATCGTCGTCGTGCGAAGTGATCGTTGATTTGTTTACCAAGGGTAGCCATCATAAAAATCTTAGCGTTATACTTATTTCACAGAATCTCTTTCATCAAGGACGCGGTCAACGCGATATTTCGCTGAATGCGAATTACATTGTGGTTTTCAAGACCCGCGCGAAATTCGCCATCTCGCGCGTCAAGTCTATCCTGACGACGCAAAGTTTTTGGGAAAAGCGTACTACGACGCCACTTCGCGTCCTCACGGTTATTTACTGCTCGATTTGAAACAATCAACACCGGACAAATATCGTTTTCAAACGTGCATCTTTCCCAACGATCCGCATCATTACGTGTACGTACCACGCAGATCCCTCGCGTGAAAACAAGCGTATAAAAACCGGAAGCACACGAGTGAAGGGCATCCTTCGAAGCTACGATGCCGACGAAGGAGCGGAAGAAGCAACAAAAGGCGCATATTAGAGCTAAGCGCTCTCTCGGTGAAAAAAACATCTGTCTACTGAAAGCTCTGTGTCTTCTAAATAAAAATCAACGCGCTGCTTTTCTGCGAAACGCTGATAACAAATTCATCGCGTGTATTCGCGAGTGTGTCCACAATACGCTCACAGGTAACGTACCGCTCGAAAAAAGAGAGAAGAACCGCTTAATCCGATACAAAACGCGCTGGGACGTATCGCGGAACAAAGAGGTACTTGGAGGTGCAAGAGAAACCTGCTGGTGCAACAAGGAGGCTTTTTACCGTACATCATCGGGCCCATTCTCATAGCTTTATTATCTCGAATTATCGAGTAAACATGGAACGGGTTAAAAAAATGGTGCTGATTTCCACGGATAATCTCGAAAGAATGCAACAACGAATGGCGGCGGGGGAAAATATCACTGCTAATACCACACGCACTCCCGGAACCGTGCTCTCGCGTCTCGACGCGGAGATAAGACGTATTCTTGATTCCCCTGTTGATGAAGGTGAAAAATGGAAATTGTACAGCGAAGTACAAACGGCGTCATTAATTCGAAGAATAGGCGCGGGGATCGGAGGGCAAGCGGGGCGGTTGCTTGTAGCGCCAACGGGCGCCGTACTAACTAGTAGCAATCACTAGTAGCTACTAGTTAGTTAGTACGGCGCCCGTTGGCGCTACGAGCAACCGCCCCGCTTGCCCTCC